ACGACTCTAGTGACGAATACAGAATACTTGCCCCAGCTACGTGACGGACACCTCTCCCAGCTACGCCTAGTGACGAATACAGAATACCCGTCCCAGCTACGTGACGGACACCTCTCCCAGCTACGCCTAGTGACGAATACAGAATACTTGCCCCAGCTACGAATGAATACGGCTTCGTGACCTCTCCCAGCTACGCCTAGTGACGAATACAGAATACTTGCCCCAGCTACGTGACGGACACCTCTCCCAGCTACGCCTAGTGACGAATACAGAATACTTGCCCCAGCTACGTGACGGACACCTCTCCCAGCTACGCCTAGTGACGAATACAGAATACTTGCCCCAGCTTCGTGACGGACACATCTCCCAGCTACGCCTAGTGACGAATACAGAATACTTGCCCCAGCTTCGTGACGGACACATCTCCCAGCTACGCCTAGTGACGAATACAGAATACTTGCCCCAGCTTCGTGACGGACACATCTCCCAGCTACGCCTAGTGACGAATACAGAATACTTGCCCCAGCTTCGTGACGGACACATCTCCCAGCTACGCCTAGTGACGAATACAGAATACTTGCCCCAGCTTCGTGACGGACACATCTCCCAGCTACGCCTAGTGACGAATACATGTCATAGTTATACTACGGTTATACACCTGTCATAACTGTGTCTAGTGGCGAAGGGACGGTGGGGTAGCTTAGTGGTTAAACCGAAGATTCGGGTTCGATTCCCCAAATGGGTACAATGTGTGGAGCCCATTTCTGGTGTCCCCCGCCGTGATATTGCTGGAATGTTGCTAAAAGCGGCGTAAAACTAAACTTACTCACTCACTCCAGTCATGAACATCTATCCTAGCTATGTCTAGTGACTGACACCTGCCCTAACAATGTGTAGTAATTGACAGCTGCCCTATCTGTATCTAATGACCTGTCCCAACTACGCAAGTTACACAAACCTGCCCTAGCTACATGTAGTATCGGGCACCTGACACAGCTTGTGACGAGCACCTCTTTTAAGAACACAGCGACGAATTTCCAATACTGTTACTACTAGTGCTAGACAATTGTTCATCCGCCGATGAACGCCTTCTACGGTTAATATAACGAACATTTCCTACACGGCTACGTCTACAGTGATTGAGATGTAACACGCATGGCGTAGTCTGTGTGGCACGCACTTTGATATTTACAGTCACAGTTCATGCACTAGCAAACGATTCATTAATGGACCCCACGTTGCAAAACAAGCTTATCCAATTATCATAGTACTTAATCGATAGACTGATCAGTCGAATAGCTCCCCAATGCTGTAGGTATTTGACGTGCTGTGTTAATGTTCACTGTCGCGTAGCCACGGACATCCTCTACCAGTTGTGTATGTAACAGTATTTCTGTGAGATGTGTTGACATTGTGTATGATGTAGCCGTACTTTAACTAACAATCTGTTGATGTGTTAGTTGTCTAACATACACTGTGCTGTGTTGTTGTGACGTTTTATGACGTTTGTCAGTGAGTCTTGTACTGAAGCGTGACTGTATTATGGCGTTGTCAGTGAGTCTTGTACTGAAGCGTGACTGTATTATGACGTCAGTGAGTCTTGCACTGAATCACTGCATCATGACGTTGTCAGTGAGTCTTGTACTGAAGCGTGACTGCATTATGACGTTGTCAGTGAGTCTTGTACTGAAGCGTGACTGTATTATGACGTTGTCAGTGAGTCTTGTACTGAAGTGTGACTGCATTATGACGTTGTCAGTGAGTCTTGTACTGAAGCGTGACTGTATTATGGCGTTGTCAGTGAGTCTTGCACTGAATCACTGCATAATGACGTTGTCAATGAGTCTTGTACTGAAGCGTGACTGCATTATGACGTTGTCAGTGAGTCTTGTACTGAAGCGTGACTGTATTATGACGTTGTCAGTGAGTCTTGTACTGAAGCGTGACTGTATTATGACGTTGTCAGTGAGTCTTGTACTGAAGCGTGACTGTATTATGGCGTTGTCAGTGAGTCTTGTACTGAAGCGTGACTGTATTATGACGTCAGTGAGTCTTGTACTAAAGCGTGACTGCATTATGACGTTGTCAGTGAGTCTTGTACTGAAGCGTGACTGTATTATGACGTTGTCAGTGAGTCTTGTACTGAAGCCTGACTGCATTATGACGTTGTCAGTGAGTCTTGTACTGAAACGTGACTGTATTATGACGTCAGTGAGTCTTGTACTGAAGCGTGACTGTATTATGACGTGTAATCTGCTGCATAGTTGGTGACATGGTATCATGACGTGCTGTAGCGATGCCAGGATGTGACGTGTCATATGCTGTAGCGATGCCAGGATGTCACGTGTCATATGCTGTAGTGTTACTGTATTGTGGCGTGTCATGTGGAGTAGTCTTGCTGTATAATGACGTGTCATCTGAAGTAGACTTACTATGTTGTGGCTAGTGTTGCAATGTGGCTGTATTGTGATGTATCATAGAGTTTTGTCATTGTGTTATA